TTCTCGAGTTATGAATTTTCCCGTCATAATTTTCACGTGCCCGTACGTGAGCCCCGGGCAGTCCTGAGCAGCTGAATTTGAAATCTATCTGTCGTATGCGGGTGGGAAATATTCTCCCAAGGTTTCAACTTTCTAGCTTTCCTAGTTCCCGAGTTAGCGATTTTCGCGCCAAAACTTTCACTTGATAGTACGCGGGGCCCAGACGTGCGTGAGGGTTGAAACTGCGGTCCTGGGGTGGTACCTGGCTGGAGAATACGATGGCAAAATTTCAGCTTCAAAGCTTGCGCGGTTAGCGAGTTCAAATACCCGGATGGACGAACACATACACACACACAGACAGGGTCGTTGCAATATGCGTTTTTGCTGCCTGTCGCAGCGCTCTAGCGCTGCACGGCAAAAACGCATAAAAATGCCAACCATTTTCCTTTTACGATTTCCGCTTTCCAATGCGGGTTTCGCGCTGGCAGGGCTCGTCTTTTGCGCCTGCATTACATTCGTGTAACTATGGGCCTAAAATATCAAAAGGATTTTAGAAAAAAGGATTTTGGAAAAAGGTTTTGAAAAGAAGGTTGCTAAACCCGGCGTAGAAGTGTTTTTATTCTTGGACATGCCGCTTTTACTTCGCGATATCGTGAGTCCGCACATTACTAGTATCCCCAAAAAATGCAAATTCACTCATTTCATGGTTCCTCTTTTTCCAATCAGTGTTACCTCTAATCTGGCAGTGCGTGCCATCACCCTTGTTTCTGATCCGCTGTGATATACTGGTCCATTTGTTTGTGGGGCAAGCAGAGATCCACGAGAAGGCACATAAGCGGGTGTAGTCGCTGCACGCTCACGCTGCTTCCGCTCCTTATTTCGGCGCTTCATTTGCAGCTCTCTTTCCTGAAAACAGATTTTTTTTGATGCAAGTCAAAATTGTGAAAAAAGAAAAGTGAAATGAAAAATTTAAAAACGTCAAAAAGCTATAAAAATCTACCACCATAATGAAAAAATTGGCCAACGCACGGGCTGCCCGTGCGAAGATGCGTTTTTTGCAGAGTTCCCCGC